CGCGCCGCCCGCCGCCCGCGCCTGGGTGGCGCTCATCCCGCGGGGCAACTGCAGCTACCGCGACAAGATCCGCCACGCCGCCGCCCACAACGCCTCGGCCGTGGTCATCTACAACGTGGGCGCGGCCGGCGCCAACGAGACCGTCACCATGCCCCACGCCGGTGAGTGCGGGCCCGCAGCCCTCCGCCGGCCTCCCTCCGGCCGGTCGTCTTCACCCAGCCCTCCACCTGGCCGTCCATTCGTCTTCATCCAGCCCTCCACCTGTCTCTTCACCCATCCATCCCTCTCTCCATTCATCTTCGTCCAGCCCTCCATTTATCCCGCCACCCCTCCATTTCTCTATTCATCCCTCATCCATTCATCCCTCCCGCTACCCATCCATTCCTCTATTCCTCCATTCATCCCCGTCCATCCATCCCTCCACCCACCCATCCCTCCCTCCCTTCCTCCATTCATCCCTCCATCTATCCCACCACCCATCCATTCCTCTATTCCTCCATTCATCCCCTGTCCATCCATCCATCCCTCCATCCATTCCTTCACCCATCCATTTCTCTATTCGTCCATTCATCCCCCCATCCATTCTTCCACCCATCCATCCCTCCATATATTCCTCCAGTTCTCCCAGCTTCTCCATCCATCCATTCATTCCTCCTTTTCCTCCATCCATTCATCACCATCCATCTCTCCATCCATTCATCCCTCCATTTATTCTTCCATCTTTTCCTCCATCGATTCAGCCCTCTAACTGTCTCTCCTTTCATTCATCCCTCCATCCATTTATTCCTCCATCCCTGTCACCCCCCCCCCCCCGGTGACCCTGGAGCCTGCTGCCCAGGGTAAGGTCCCAGGAAGTTGGGGTGATGTCATGGAGTGGGAGGGTCCGGGCTGGGCCCCCTGGTCTGCCCTGCTATCCCTTCCCACAGACTGAGGTGTCCCAGGTTACTGCTGGCAGCAGTTGCTGGGCATGCCCCTGTCACCTCCTGGTTCCCTGCCTCCTCTCCTGTCCCCTGCGGGGTTCACAGGCTCCTGGGTGCTACATGGATGCTGCTGGACAAGACAGCAGCCAGGACTTACGCACTGTCATGGGTGTCATTGGAGGGTGGTAAAGTTTGGAGTGACTTGGGGGGTGTTTCTGGACATGACCCTGCAAGGACCTTTGCTAGGTAGTCAGGGGACAGCAGACCCTGTAGGGTTGGGCTTTGTGACCAAGCCACTCGAGGTGGGAAGCCTACATGTCACAATCCCTACAAGGTTTGATCCAAATTAATGTTGTTTGTAGGAACAACTAATCAAATTCATTTTTAGGGACAGTTTTCTGCCAAGGGTTATTGGTCTTGTGTGCCAAGAGTCCATTCTGTGGTGACTGAAATGCCAGCTATTTGGGAAATCTGAGTCTGGGTTGCATCTAGTGGTTAATTGTGCCCAGGTGTTTCATGCCTATTGAATCTGAGTGGAGTTGGGGATAAATTGTAACACACAGGATGCAAAACCGGATATTTCTAATGACATTTTTAATGCTACAAACGACCCAGAGTGGACGAGTGGAAAAGGAATTTGTTAGTAACATAGTAGTAGAGTTACTAGCAAACAGTATACTTTGAACCTCTTGCACTCTCTCTTTGAGAGCAACTGTTCACCTGAGCAAGTTCATACACCTTGGAAGCGGTAGATTGGATCAGTGGAAGGCTATTTTTAAAGATCATAATGTTTCTCAGGACTTTTCATGGCTTCTTTATCATTAGAAGTTCCTACCCTCCAGTATTTTTAACTGTTCTCTATATACTGCATGTGGTTAGGTAGCTGGTCAAATTCTACCCCTTATTTTTGTAAATATTACAGGTTATTTAATGAGGGGCTTTACATCCATAGGCACTCCAAGTTCAGGCAGTTTCAACACAAAATATCCTTTGTTTGTGTCTAATAAGTTTCTCTGAAACTGCCAACATGTTGGATCAATTATTGGCTTGCCTGGTTTCTAAAGAATGCACTAAGCTCGTTTCCCACACAAATGTTGTTTTATTAGGAAAGAGTGGAGTAAAACAATCTAAATTCAAAGGTTCAAGTCCAAAAGGGATGAAGCAAAGAGTCTTTGTTACTGGAAGTTGTCTCAGCTTTTAGCAACAGGGCGACTCCAATAAGTGATACCTGACTCCTTGTAGTCTTTTCAGAAGCTCCTTTTCAAGTACTGAACTTGCGTCCATTAGGACTGCTGGGCTTTTTATCAGAATACCCAACTGTGTGACTCTAAATGCTGGAATAAAATTAAAGTCTTATTTTTTTTAAATCTGGTACACTATGATCAGTCAAATTATTGTGGATTGAAGTTAATATATTGTTCAAATTAAATACAGAATTTCTGTTTTCATTGGAAAATGTGAAGACTTCAGTTTTGTGAAGTTGGAGCAAAGTTCATGAGTTTACCTCAGAAATATCCTACTGTTGGCACAATGAAAATGCCATTTTATGGTTGGGTATGATAAAGGGGGAAGGAAAGAATTTGGGGTGTAGAGATGCTATGTACCGCCTGTTTCAGAGCTGTCCAGCTGGTGACCACAAGCCACATGCAGCCCACAAGAAATTAAGCTGCAACCCTTAGGTTCTCACTCAGCTGTAGCTTCCCTCCCCCACACCTCTGTTGCAGCTGTTATTCCAGCTGCAACAGCAACCAGTCTTAGGCTTCCCCTCCCTCCTTGTGCCAGGACTGGGGCAGTGCAGTGTAGTACAGGGAGCTGAGAATGAGTCTGGACTGTACTGGTAGGAGGGATGTCATACCAGTGCGAGGTCTGTCTGTGAGGATGCATGTTGCAGCAGGAGGGAGGGAATTACATCTGTGGAGTAGAGGAAGGCCCAGTGCAGTGGTGGTGGGGTGTGTCCATGAGGAGCAACAGGGGAAAGGGGTGTGTCTGTGCTGCCCAGCTGCCCGTAGCTTACCTGGTATGGCCCACATTGCTGTGGCCCACAAGGCCTTAGAAGCTGGACAGCCCTAGCCTAATTGTATCTGGGTAGAGAGAGAGAATCTGGTTCATCCTTAACTGTATGTTACTATCCAGAGAGAGGGCAAAGCAAATGTAAATATGCTTAAAATCTTAACTGATACCATGCTGAGTTGTTAGGGTTTTTACATTCATTTTACCATGGTGTAAATGATCAAACAAGCTGGAAAGATGATTTGAGTTCCTAGTCTCTCAGATCAGCCATGTCAACTCTGCAAGCTGCACATACTGAAGTTCCTATCTTAAAAGCTAGAACAAATGATATCATGGTACTTTTTCTTCCTCTTTATCCTTCCTTCTTTTCAGCCTTCATGAATCAGATCAAATGAACTCTGACTTTCCTTTATAGAGCTTATCTTTTCTGGCTTCATAATGAACTAGTGGTTCCCGCCCCTTACTCGCAAAGGAATTTACTGCTACTTTTTGCTTTCTTTTCACTACAGTTCTCCTCTCCAATTTCTTCTGCCTTCTTTTTTTGTCATGTCAGTTTCTCTTGTTTCTCTCCTGCTTTATACCATTTCACCTCTTCTTACTTTCCCTGCAGTCTTGTTTTAGTGCCCCAGCTTCTCCTTCATCATCTTCATATTGCTTTGTCTCCCAGCCACATTAGTATCTCGTCTTGCAGCTCTTCCCCCCCGCCCCCCCGACCCCGAATTGCTCTCCTTCCAAATTGCTGATATCACACATGCATACTGTCTGTTATACAGTTAGGATGCCTATTGATCAGCCTTTCACTTAGTCACTTAAATTACTTTTTCTACTATGCCTGCAAATTCTGCTGGGATTTAGGGTAGAGTTTGTTTCTCACCTTAGAATCTGTTCATCCAAATCTATAGGATATTGCAGGAAGATAATCTATTTTCATTTGTATTAGAGGGTAGATTACCAGGTGCTTTAGAAACAACAATAGTTATTGAATATGTAAGCCTATCGTGGAGCTTTTTCACAAACCCTAAGAACTGTACTTGTCATTTTTCAGTGTCCCAAACAGAGGAGTCAGAATACTAGATTTGTACAAAACTCAAGTGTAACATGACATTAAAATCCCACTCTCCAAGGACCTGATTCAAAGCTTATCAGTAATCTTTGTATCAGGTGATAAGTAAACATCACAGTGATGTCGGAGGTCTGATTTCAGATGAATGTGCAGTGAGCCCTTAAGAGAGACTTTTTTTCTTGATGATAGTAACAAGGAGGAAAAATTTAAAATGCCTTTTAGTGAAAGTCGGGTGTGCATTTTAGCAACAGGTAGTGAATTACTGCTTGTTCTTCTATTTTTTTTTTTTAAATAATATTAAATTTAGATTTAGTGGAAGATAGCAGGGAGTTAGTCATATGTTTGTTCACAAAACTAATGACAATCTATATGTGTGACATGTTCCTAATTTACTCTTAGTATTTGGCATTTGTTAACAATGGGGTGGGGCCAATCCAAAATCTGAGATGCGATTTCCATATAGCTAAAAGGGGCAGAAACAAAACCCAGAGTTCAGACCATCTTGATCTGTGCTATAAATTTACATCCAAATCTGAACTTTACCAAATGTATGTGTTTGTGTTTGGCTCTTTAGCAAATCTGTTCAGTTGTAAACTCTGATTAAAAACCTATCAGTAGTGCCTGAAAGATGGAATTATAAGATTTTTTTTTTAATAGCTGATACTTAAACTTGAGGATATTTTACTTGTAATTTGATCTGTGCTAAGGTGATTATAAATAGGCTTGGCAGAATTCGATTTTTATTTTTTAATAATTTTGACAGCTAAAATTGTTTATCAGCATTTCTTTTGATTTTTATTGATTTAAATTTTCAGAGTTGTACAAAATTAGGGGCGTGGGAGCAATTTAGAAATGACAGTATACTGTTAAAATCTTTATAAAATCATGTTAAAATATAAAAAGTAAATATCCATAAATCAATGAAACATGCTTGCTTTAAAACATTCTGTTCATTTGGTTATACATTTGTAAAACCATGCAAGGGCTGGGCTGGGCTCACCAGGAGTTTGGTGCCCAATCCCTGGCTAGGACCTGGGCAGAATGAGCAGCCACTGGGCTCCAGGCTAACAACAGCCCTGCCCATCCAACCCCTGCTCCCAGTGCAGGCCTACCCAGCACGGCTCCTGGCTCCTACAGCAGCTGTCGGAGCTTCTGCCAGAGGAGAAAT